AGGGGGGGCGAGCCAGCCGGGGCTCAGCAGGAAAGGGAGCATGTCTCACTGGGCTCCCTCCAGGTTTCCTGTCTCCCCTCCCATTCCCCATCACCTGCCTTCATGTCCATTTCCTCCTTCCCCAGCTGCCCCTGCCTCCCTTTCCCCCTCAGACAGCCCCACCTCCCCTCCTGTTCCCCTCCCACAACCCCACCCTTGCCCAGCCTCCTGCCTCCCCTCCCATTTCCCCTCCTCCAGACTCTTGCTCCCCCCAACTCTGACCCCACCTCCTCTCCTGTTCCCCCTCCCCTGGCCCCATCTCCCCTCCCATTCTCCCTCGCCCGGCCTGCTGCCGCCTCTCCTGTGCCACTCACATAAGAACATAAGAACGTCCAGACTGGGTCAGACCAATAGTCCATCTAGCCCAGTGTCCTGTCTTCTGACAGTGGCCAATGCCAGATGCCCCAGAGGGAATAAACAGAACAGGGCAATTTTTGAGTGATCCATCCCCTGTCGCCCACTCCCAGCTTCTGGCAGTCAGAGGTTTAAGGACACCCAGAGCATGGGGTTGTATTCCTGACCACCTTGGCTAGTAGCCATCGATGGACCTATCCTCCATCAACTTATCTAGTTGTGTGTTATGAGAAGTACTTCCTTTTATTTGTTTTACACCTGCTGCCTATTAATTTCATTGGGTGACCTCTGGTTCTTGTGTTATGTGAAGGGGTAAATAACACTTCTCTAGTCACTTTCGCCATGATTTTATAAAACTTTATGATATCCCTGCTCAGTTGTCTCTTTTCTAAGCTGAACAGTCCCAGACTTTTTAATCTCTCCTCATATGGAAGCTGTTGCATACCCCTAATCATTTCTATTGCCCTTCTCTGTACTTTTTCCAATTCCAATACATCTTTTTTGAGATGGGGCCACCAGAACTATTGTGACCGGGGTTCCAGGGGGGCCATACTGAGATTGCTCAATTAGGGCAAACTGCAAAGAATGGGGCAGAACATTCCCAAAACTGGTGGTTGTTCTAATACCTAGATTCACCAAGCCAGCAACAAAACAGCTTCTACGATACCTTACTGGTTACCCAAAACACAGCTTCCTTAAAACAACCCAGTTTTCATCTTCCACTCAGACAGCCAAGTCAAATATGATGAAGATGACTGAAAATCTTGTTCATCATATAAAAAGTTCTACCAATCCCAAAGGATCGGACACATTACCCACCAGGTTAATGAATATCTCAGATTTACCCAAATACACGTGTACAGCCAATTCTTATTAACTAAATGAAGATTTACTAAAAAAGAAAAGAGAGAGTATCGATTAAAAGATCATTATACATACAGGTATGAATAGAGTTCTTAGGTCAGTTTCATAGTAGAGATGGTGATCTTTAAAGTTGCAAAGAGTCCTTTCCAGAATCAGTTCACCAGATTATAGTCCAATGTCCAAATATCCAATATCAGGGTGATCCAAAATAGAACTGGAGACCTCAGTCTTGCAACTCAAACTTCCCCTGATGAAGCTTAAGCAGATCTGAGATAAAAAGGATCAGGGTCCAAGAGCCTACAGTTCCCAGGCAGCCTTTTGACAGCATGCAGGCGTTGGGTGAACAATAGACAATTATCCTAGCTTTGAAGTAGACCTCCTATTTCCTAAGCATCATTGGTAATTAGCTACATGGATTAACATAAGGCAATTGCCTATCTCCCGCCATTTGCAGGTCGTTTGCTACAGACTTCCAAGGGAAATTAAGGCAGTGATATCACTACATTCATAGTTCATTTAAATGTTAACATCTTCTTTTGATCTCTGAATTAACAGAATACAGCAGTAGACAGGAACTGTTTTGTTACATTGTCAACCTCTAACAATATATATGTAAACACATAAAACCACAAACATTATCTAATAATATGTCTCTAAAGGTTGAATCTGGGTCAATTAGTCTGCTAGTTGTATAACCCTTGCTGGCCCTGTGTCACAACAATGTTCAAAGTGTGGGCGTACCATGGGTTTATATAATGGCAGTATGATATTTTCTGTCTTGTTATCTATCCTTTTCCTAATGGTTCCTAACATTCTATTCGCTTTTTAGACTGCCATTTCACATAGAACAGACGTTTTCAGAGAACTATCCATGATGACTCCAAGATTTCTTTCTTGAGTAGTAGCAGCTAATTTAGACCCGATCATTTTGTATGTATAGTTGGGATTATTTTTTCCAGCATTACTTTTCATTTATCAACATTGAATTTCATCTGCTATTTTGTTGCTCAGTCACCCAGTTTTGTGAGATCCCTTTGTAATGCTTTGGTGTCAGCTTTGGACTTAACTATCTTGATTAATTTTGTATCGTCTGCAAATTTTGCCACCTTGCTATTTACCCCTTTTTCCAGATCCTTTATGAATATGTTGAACAGCATGGGTCCCAGCACAAATCCTTGGCGGACTTTACTATTTACTGCTTTCCACTGTGAAAATGCCCATTTATTCCTACCCTTTGTTTCCTATTTTTTAATCAGTTACTGATCCATGAGAGGACCTTCCCTCTTATCCCAGGACAGCTTCCTTTGCTTAAGAGCCTTTGGTGTGGGACTTTGTCATAGGCTTCCTGAAAGTCCAGATACACTATATCCACTGAATCGCCTTTGTACACAAGCTTGTAGACACCCCCATAGAACTCTACGAGATTGGTCAGGCGTGATTTCCCTTTACAAAAGCCGTATCGTGTTCATCTGATAATTCTGTTCTTCAATATAGTTTCAACCAATTTGCCTGGTACTGAAGTTAAGCTTAATAGCCTATAATTGCCAGGATCCTTTCTGGAGCTTTTTTAAAAATAGGTGTTACATTAGCTATCCTCCAGTCATCTGGGACAGAGGCTGATTTAAATGATAGGTTACAGACCACAGTTAGTAATTCAGCCATTTTGTATTTGAGTTCCTTCAAAACTCTTGGGTGACTCCCAGCTGGTCCTGGTGATTTATTATTGTTTAATTTATCAATTTGTTCCAAAACTTCTTCTACTGACACCTCAATCTGGGAGAGTTCCTCAGATTTGTCACCTAAAAAGAATGGCTCAGGTGTGGGAATCTCCCTCACATCCTCTGCAGTTACGACTGAGGCAAAGAATTAATTTCGCTTTTCCACAATGGCTTTATCATCCTTGAGTGCTCCTTTGTCCAGTGGCCCCACTGATTGTTGGGTAGGCTTCCTGCTTCTGATGTACTTACATTTTTTTTTGCTGTCAGTTTTTGTACCTTTTGCTAGGTACTCTTCAAATTATTTTTTGGCCTGCCTAATTATACTTTCACACTTGATTTGCCAGAGTTTATGCTCCTTTCTATTTTCTCCCGTAGATGTGACTTCCAATTTTTAAAAGAGATCTTTTTGCCTCTAACTGCATCTTTTTCTCTCTTGTTTCACCATGTGGCATTGTTTCTATGTACCTTGCTCGTCTTGTAACTGTTCTTTTTAATTTCTGTTTAACTAGCTTCCCATTTTTGTGTCATTCCCCTTTTTGAAGTAAAATGTTCCTGTGGTGGGTTTCTTTGGTATTTTCCCCACTACAAAAATGTTAAATTTAATTACATTATGGTCACTATTACCGAGCGGTTCAGCCATGTTCACCTTCTGGACAAGAACCTATGTGCCACTTATGACAAAATCAAGAATTTCCTCTCCCCTTGTGGGTTCCAGAACTAGGTGATCCAAGAAGCAGTCATTAATGCTGTCTAAAATTGTTATCCTTTTATCCCACCCTGAGGTGACATGTTCCCAGTCAGTATGGAGATATCCCCCATCATTATTGGGCTTTCTGACTTTGTAGCCTCACTAATCTCTCTGAGCACTTCAGTCACCATCATGATCATCTGGTTGGCAGTGTTTCTCTACTGCTATCCTCTTGTTATTCAAGCATGGAATTTCTGTCCATAGTGATTTGATTCATTTAAGATTTTTACTATATTTGATTCTATGCTTCCTTTCGCCTATATTGCCCCTCCCCCACCAGTGTGAGTGCCCCTCCCCCACCAGTGTGACCTACTCTGTCATTCCTATGTATTTTGTGCCCTGGTATTACCATGTCCCATCGATTATCATCATTCCACCAAATTTCTACAATGCCTGTTATAGCAATACCAGGCACTCAATTTGACCCATCCTAGTATTTAGACTTCTGGCATTTGTATACAAGCACTTATTAAATTTGTCAATATTTAGTTGTCTGACTTCACGTGATGTCATTGAATGGGATGTCATTGAATGGGATTCCTTTTCATTTGCTTCCCCTCACTCGACCCCTCACCTCCCCTCCCATTTCTGCTCCCTCAGCTGCACCTCTCCTCCTGTTCCCCCCCCATCTGGCCTTGCTTTCCCCCAGAGATGGCTGCTCAGCCCCTAGCACTTGTGTCCTTCCCCCCCACATGCTGCTCTGCCCTCGGGTGCCCCTCTTCTCCTCCATGCACATGCTTCTCCCCTGCTGGGACATCTCCCGCCACCCGCACACCCTGGCCACAAGGCCTGTGTTCTTCGCCCTGTCTGCCTTGGATTTCCCATGTGATGGGCTGGCAAATTCTGCCCCGAGGCAGCTGTTTTTGTCCCCCACTCCATTCTTTGTGTGGCCCCTAAGGGAGGCAGCCTGGCTCCGGGCCCTTCACTGCCCTGAGCCCATCACAGCCGCTGCACCTGTGCACAGGCCGCTCTCTGCAGCCTGAAGCCCTTTTCCAGGTGTCTGACGGGCCCCTCTCTCCTGCCCCTCCCCAGTATGTCTCAGACCCTGGGCAGGGACGGCGCAGAGGACGCGGAGCCTGGAGCCGAGGCTGATTCCCTCCCTCCAAGCCGAGGCAGCCATAAGATCGACTGCATCATCTGCTATTCCTCCTACAACCTGTCCAGCAGGCTCCCGCGCCGGCTCTACTGCGGCCACACCTTCTGCCAGGCCTGCATCAAGCGCCTCGACGCCATAGCCAATGAGCAGCGGTGGATCCCCTGCCCGCAGTGCCGCCAGAGCACGCCTACGCCCCGCGGAGGCGTCACCATGCTCGACCTGGACCTGGCAGTGTTCCTAGCGGTGAAGTCTGAGAAGGAGCAGCCCCGGGCGGCTGGCAGGCCCGAGGCCAACTCAGTCTTCAAAGCGTCCTCCAAAGAGAAGCCGGTCACACAGCAGCCTTTGGGGCTCTGCCAGGAGACAGTGCCCCAGCCGCAGTTCCCCCGAAGCCGCTGCTGCGGACGGTGCCTGTGCTGCGGGGCTATGGCTGACTTTGAGAGCTAAGTAGGCTGTTCCCAGGGCCAGGCTGGGGATGGGTTGCCAAGTTTGGAAGGTGTGACAAGAACCCCTAACTTGGCTGGGCAGAGAGCGATTGCAGGTAGGACCAGACTGGGTCTCTGAGCCACCCCTCACAGAGTGCGGGCACTCCTCTCAGGCCACACCTGGGCAGCCACCCCTCACAGAGTGCGGGCACTCCTCTCAGGCCACACCCGGGCAGCATGTCCTACTGCCTGAACTGTCTGTAGGGTTTACAGCTCCCCCAGCATGGCCCCGCTGCAGCCCCTGGCTGTTTGTTTTGTCATTCCTGATGAGGGAGGGTATCAAGCCCTGTTATCTCCCTGGGCCGGGGCCTGCAGTCCTCTCAGCCACCTAGATCATCACATGGGGGCCCTTGCTCCCTTCTGGACCCTCGTCATTCTCGGTCTGCCTGGGGGAAGCTCTATGTACATTATCAAGGGGTCGGTGAACCTGCCCCGACTCTCCTGGGGAAGATGAATATCTGAACCTCCACCCTGCTGGTTGGCCTGCCAGGGCTTTGGGCAAGGGCTTCTATAGCAGAGGTTCATGGGTGCAATTGCACCCACAGACCCCCCTCAGCAGCGCCTCCTGCCCTGTAGGGCTGGGCCCAGCTCCCCACTCTGGGAGCTGTGGCTCAGCTCACGGGTTCACTTGCCACTAAAATTTGGCCTGTCCGTCCCTCCAGGAGGAAGGGTGGGCCAAACCTGAGCGTCACTGCAACCCTGTGTGCCAGGTCGCAATGCCTGGAGTGGGGAGCGGGGCCCAGGTCCACAGGATAGGAGCTGCCACTTCGGGGTGAGTGTGGGGCAGGGCTGAGGTTAGGGTTGCTGTGCCAGGGCAGAGGTTGCCTCTGTGGGTGGTCAGGGAGAGGAGGAGATGGCAATGGGAGAGGAGTGCACCCATTGAAACAGAAGGCTACATCTGTCACTGGCTTTGGGTAAACATCCTCCCCATAAAAATACAAAAAACAGGGGAATGTAGTAGAGAGAGCGAGCCTGGAGCACTGGGCCTGGTGCAATATCTAAGCCTGAACCAAAGGCTGAGAACCCAAGTCAGGCCATGTATTAATGCAGATGCTCACAAGTTCCCTGTCCAGTACATGAACTTGGCAAAGTTGTTGCTAGTGTACTCAGCACTAGATATGTATGTAAATACACTCCAGCTAGTACGGATACACCCCAATCTAGTACAAGATAAGATGGTTTGACAAAATAATAAATAGGGATGTTTTATCCAAGATATCAGGAACAAGGGGAGGTAACAAACAGATGTCATAAAATACGTAAGGTGGTA